TCCTGCCTTTAAAAGTGGAAGTTTGTACAGGTTGCAAAAAGAGGTTTAAGAAAGTTAACAGCAGGCTATTCATGCACCTGGGGAACAGAAATAAGATGATTATTGACAGGTTCAGCAATAAATAAATGCATTAAATAGAAAGATGAGTGGGTCTCTGGAGAGACCTCCATGTAAAAGGAATAGGTGGAGAGTATGTTCATATAAGGAGACCACAACAAAGGCACACAGACAAGTGTGTAAGGTTTAGCCAGAAGGTGAGGTTTTGTGTAGGGCAAAAAAGGAAATTAAAGCTAGAAAAGAAGTTAGAACCAGATCGTGGAGATCTTTGGATGCCTTGCATAGATTTGCTTCCTACAAACACAAACTTAAGATTTTTTAGCAATGAAAAGCAGTTTCTTAAGAACATTCTATCTGGCAACAGGGAAAAGGAGAGAGAAGGGTATTAGAAAGATGTGATCTGGGTGACACAGTTATTTTTAAGTATTAAGAGAACACAATACTCTACAGGTAGTATAAGAATCTTTAGAGTCTATTGACATTGTCTATGTAAGGAATAAGATTTGTGGTTATGGTACCCTATAGCAACAGTGCTTTTAAATTTGTAGTGGTAAATTGGAGATGGCTGGTTGAGCAAATTATTTAATGTAGAGGAATTCTGTGACCTAGTTGTTAAAACTGAAAAGAGGCCTTCACATGAACAAATTGGCAAATTCTATAAATCAGTACTCTTTTTTTTGCTGAATCAGTTTATCAGCATACCACTGATAATTAAAAATTAGTACATTCTTAGGTATAACGTAGTTATGGAGAAGAGACTGTTCATGGTAACAAGGTCTAAAGGAAAGCCTCGTCTTCTCTTTGTCCTTTTCTCATAATACAAATTATTTTTTTTAAATAATTAAAGTAGCTGTATTTTAATTGCTTTAAGTCCCAAGGAACTAAAATAGTACTGTATTAACCTGTGCTTAGAGAATAAAATGGTTACATTTAGGTAGATTAACAAAAGCTGTTTGAAATTGGTTTATATCTTCAACAGCTGGAGGATGGTTGTTCTTCAGCCCTTGGATGAATATAATTTAGGAGAAGAGGAGGTAAGTTGCCCTTTACTTAAAGGATAATTGCACATTATATATCATGAAGCCTGCTATATTTGATATTTAAGGAACTAAAAGGAGATATAAGCTCTTTAACTTACATTAATTTCTTTTCACTTGTGATAATTATAATTAAAATGTTTCACTTGAGGCTATTAATTTGATTAAAAAATGTTTCTGTGCATATTTGACTGCAAAGACCATGATACAGAGAGAAAAGCAAAACTGTAACAGATTGTTTAAGTTGAGATAATTGCTGACATACTGAACTTATGTATCTACATTCAAGTCCACAAACCGACTTTGAGCTAGGGAAATTCAGGTAGTCTAGGGAAATCCTCATAAATTATAATTTTATAGGAAGTGGAATAACTTCACATGGGATCAGGCTACCTCAACAAATGAATCACAAAAAATTTTTTTTCAGATTTTGGAATTGTAGGAAATGGACTGTGGAGTTATTAAACTTACATTTATACAATGATTATAGGGAAAAATAGTATATGTAACCAAATTAACTCCAAAATGATAACCTATAGAAGCAGTATTATGTAGAAGACATTTAGTTGTCTGACACCCACTACTATTTTTCAATTATCAAAATTTACTTTTTGAAATCTCTTTTTAAATGCACTCTTCCTAAGTTCAGAATGATTCTAGCCAAGAAGCCCAAATTCTTAAAACAGTACAACCCAAGTCTTAGAAGTCTAACTAATTCATCTCTTAAAGTAATTCTCATTTATCTCAATCAGTTTTACTTTTCTTTGATAGTAATATATGTTCCTAGAATAGTATACCACACAAATGGGTATTCAGTACAAACTTCTGTATGACTAAAAAGTTAAGAATATTCTATGTAAATGTGACCTATTTGTAATCTGGGTAAGTTTGCAAACATGGCCCAACAGTAAAGTTTTTAACACCCTCTTCTTATGGATTGGAAGCACATCTCTTCTCATCTGTTCTCTTAAATTAGGAGTCTTCTTCCTGTTGTTCTCTTGGTGAGGATCTGTTCTCATATTTTCAAGTGTTTCTGATAAAAACAAAACCTTTTAATTCTAATTTCAGATAGAAGATCTTTCTGATGAAGTCTTCTCCCTAAGACATAAAAAATATGAAGAGAGAGAGCAAGCCAGGTGGTCACTATGGGAGCAAAGCAAATGGCACAGAAGGAACAGCAGGTAGGTGTTAAAATTTAAAATCATGGATTCCCTGTGAAATCAACAAAAATTTGGCATGAATGAGGGAGACTACTAAAAAAAAACACCCAATGTCATTATTTGTGCACTAGAAGTGAAATACTACATATGCTAAGCTTACATTCAGACTGTATTTGTACTAATTAATTACATAATGTCCAAATGAGTTTCTGTATTTGACTCCACTATATTTCTCGAGGTCATTGGCAGCCTCAGTAATAGTAGATTTAAATGAGCCAATAATGTGAGAATTCTCCTTAGATAAAGTAGGTCATTTCAATGTATTTCAAAAGTAGAAGTAACACTAGGGTTAGAATTTGGGTAATCTATTTTAACATTACCACTTTAAAAATATGTGTTTAAGAAATTCAAGAAACCTATCAATTTAAAAAGCAAGTATAGTCTAAAATAGAATATAAATTTGAAGGAAGAGTGAATAAATCCTAAAAACACAGTTAGTACTTATATTTGAGAAAATCCCGGTGTTTTATGTTTACATGTGATCATTTTTAACATAGCTAAACTCAAAAAGCAAGATCAGGTTGAAGTCTGGTATCCCTCCATATGAGGGACTACCTCTCAGTTACTATTGTTAAAATACATTTCTGTTTCGATATCAAGATATGCAGATTTATTGTAGATCCTATTCAAGAGTTATCCTAACATATATAAGACCAAATTTTCATCTTTCTCACATTCTAGAGATAACTTTCTAGAAGTTCAAATGAAAATGTGAAATGAGTCCTTTATGAACATTACATAAGACTAGTTGGGAACAGAAACACTGTTAAAGGTGAAGTAACTGTTCTTATTTTCTGAGAGGGGAAGCAAACCAAGTAACAAAACCAGTATTGTAATTCAGCAAAATTCAAAGTATTATTTTAGTCTTTGAGATATGAAGGATAAAATCTTTAAGATCTGAAGATGATTTTTTAAGCAGAACCTAAAGGCTACAAGTTAAATTCACACAATGAAAGCCTGAATTATTCATAAAATGCCAAGACCTCAAGAAATAAACATTTTTTTTTTTTATTTTCTTGCTAGAACTTTCAGTAAAAATGTGGAAGGACAAGACTTCCTTATGAAAGAATACCCTAACGACTTCAGTGGTGGTCAGCACTGTGCTGCTGAAAGTTCTGCTGAGCTTCCTTCAGAAAGCCATGACCTGAGTGCTCACGGCTCTCCTTCACTAAATGAAAGCCAAGAAACCAAGGTGAGTGTAATATATGTGATTAGGTAACTGCCCCTCCACTGCCTTTTAACCTTTTAAAAAACTTTTTAATAGAAATTTCTTAATTGCAAATTAAGTATTCACTATTACAAAACAAAATCAATGTGACAATTCAGTATAGAATGCCCGGTAAGAATCAGAGCATCTGAATCCCAGCACTCTATTCTGATGTAACATATCAATACCAAATTCCACCTACTCAAGTGTTTTAGCACTTAGAACCCAGTAAATTTTAGCTACAATTTCTCTTTTTATAAAAGATTTTTACTTGTCTCACCAAAGATCCAATTCTAACTCAAGGGAAATGTTTTCTAACACTGCATTCAAAAGTGCTTGCACCTGTCTTCATAAGTAGGTGTTGGAAAGGAAAAACCCATGTGAAATGGAAAGCATGGAGAACAAAGAAATAAGTTGTAGAAAACTCAAGAAGTCAATAGCTGTCTGTAATGACAATATCAAAATGGACATACTGATAACCTTTTTTATAAAAAAGCTATCTCCAAGTACTCCTATGCTGAATATGAATACCAGCAACTTCATAGCAGGCACATACCAAACATCTGAAAATACCTCAAAGTCTTTCAAAAAACCGAAGAGGAGGAAATGTTCTGAAGCTCATTTTATGATGCCAGAATCACCCTGAGACTAAAATTGGACTTGGACACCAGAAAAAAAGAAAATTCTATGAAAAGAGACGTAAAAATCCTCAACAAGATAATGAGCAAACTATATTCAAAACTGTAGTAAAAGGATCATATATCATGATCAAGTGGGATTCATTCCAGGGATGTAAGGGTGGTCCAGTATTCACTAAACGATCAAGATGATAGACAATAGCAACAATGGAAAAATAAAAATTATACGACAATCTCAATGCAGAAAAAACATTGGACAGAATTCAACCCTCATTTATGATAAAACCCTGAAAAAGGTGAAAATGTATTTCACTATAATAAAGCCGTACCTGAAAGCCCACAACTAATATTAATTCACAGGTGAAAACCTGAGCACATTTCTAAAAAGATCAGGAACAAGACAATGATACCCACCCTCCCTACTTTGAACACAGTATCTGAAGTCCTAGCTAGAGCAGTTGAGCAGGAAGAGAGAAATGGCATCCAAATTGTACAGAAATAAATAAAACTTACTATTTTTGGATGACATGATTTTATACATAGAAAACTCTCAAAAGTCAATAAAAATCATTAAAATTCATGAGGAAAGTTGCAGGGTACAAAAATCGTTGTTTATATATACTAAAAATGAAGTAACAGAAATTAAGAAAACAGTTCCATTACAGTTGCATCAAAAGAGAATAAAATACAGGGCCTCCCCGGTGGCGCAGCAGTTGAGCGCTGGGTTGCGAAGCTGCCCGCAGCCTCTGCAGCGCCGGTTCAATCCCCGGCTGCTCCCCGGCCACCAGAGGAGGGTCCCACATGGCGCGCAGACCTCTCCTGCCGCCCGCTGCTCCCCTCAGCAGTGTACTTCGGTCCTTCTGCCTGCTCTGCTCCCCACTCTGGCTCTGGTGAATTCTCTCGCCCTCCCGTGCTTCTGACTGTACCCAGTGCTTGTATAAATAAATAAATAAATCTTAAAAAAAAAAAAAAAAAAAAAAAAAAGAATAAAATACCTAGGAATATATTTAACCAAGGAGGTGAAAGACCTGTACACTAAAATGTGCAAGACTGAAAAAGTAAAGACACAAAGAAATGTAAAGCTATTTCATGTTCATGGGTTGGGGGAAGAATATTAAAATGTTCATACTATCCAAAGCAAAGTACAGACTCTGTGCAATCTCTATCAAAATTCCAATAGCATTTTCCACAGAAATAAAATCCTAAAATTTCTATAGAACCATAAAAGATCACCAATAGCCAAAGCAATCTTAAGAAAAAACTGGAGGTAGCATGCTTCCTGACTTCAAGCTGTATTTCAAAACTACAGTAACCAAAAGAGCACAGCAGTAAGGCATCATTTGATGACGTTTTGGCCAATGACAGGCCATATATACAATAGTGGTCACAACAGGCTACGCTATATAACATAGGTGTTGCACAGGCTAAGTCATTTAGACTTGTGTAATTACATTCCGTAACATTTGCACAACCATGAAATCACCTAACAAAATATTTCTCAGAACTTACCCCACTCTTAAGCAACGCATTACTTACTGTCTTTCTTACTGCCATAAAAACAAACATAGATCCTGGAATAAAGAGCACAGACAAACTGATACATGTATAGTTAATTTATGTCAAAGGAACCAAGGATATACAATGGGGAAAGGACAGTGTCTTCCATAAATGGTGCTGAGAAAATTGGACAGCCACATACAAAAGGAGGAAACTGGACTAGTGTTTACACCATATACACACTCAAAGTAGATTTAAAAACTTTGATGTAAGGAACCATAATACCTCAAACCATGAAAGTCCTGAAAGAAAACAGGCAGTAAGAGCCTTGATAACAGTCTTACTGGTATTTTGTTTGGATCTGACTCCAAAGGCAAGGGTCATAAAAACTAAAATACTAAATGGGACTACATCAAGCTAAAAAATTTCTGTATAGCAAAGACAAAAAACAAAAAAACACCATAAAAGCAACCTACTATATGGGAGAAGATATCTGCAAATCATATCTGATGAGGGGATAATTTCAAAAATATATAAGGTACTCAAACTCATAACAACAAAACCCAAACAATCCAACTGAAAAATGGGCAGGAAAAAAAAGCAAGCATACAGATGGCTGACAGTCACATGAAGAGATACTCAGCATTACTCATCAAAGAAATTCAAACCAGGGCCTCCCCGGTGGCGCAGCGGTTGAGTGCTGGGTTGCGAAGCTGCCCGCAGCCTCTGCAGCGCCGGTTCGATCCCCGATCCCCGGCTGCTCCCCGGCCACCGGAGGAGGGTCCCACATGGCGCGCAGACCTCTCCTGCCGCCCACTGCTCCCCTCAGCAGTGTACTTCGGTCTTTCTGCCTGCTCTGCTCCCCTCTCTGGCTCTGGTGAATTCTCTCACCCTCCTGCGCTTCTGACTGTACCCAGTGCTTGTATGCATGTATGTATAAATCAATCAATCAATCAATAAATCTTTAAAAATAATAATAAAAAAATTAAGAAAAAAAAGAAATTCAAACCAAAAACCGTGAGATAAATTCACGCACAGAATACTGTGCAGTCATAAAACTGAAATCTTGTCATTTGTGACACGGATGGGCCACACTTGAGAGTATTATGCTAAATGAAGTAAGTCAGAGAAAGACATACTACGCAATTTCAATTATGTATGAAATCTTAGAATACGCAATATAATTCAGAGATAGAAAAAAGAATAATGTTACCAGAGGAAAGAGGGTAAGGAGGTTGAATGAACTAGGTGAAGAGTTCAAGAAGTATAAATTTTAAGTTATAAATAAGTCACAGGATGTAGCTTATATAATGGGGTCCATATGCAATAACAAAGTTTTGCAAATTTGAAAACTTGCAAAGATGGGAATTAGTCATTGTGGTTATCATATTACATTATACCAATATCAGATCTTTATGCTCTACACCTCTGAAACTAACATAATGTATGTCAATTAAAAAATCTCTAAAGTCCACATCATCCATTTTGAAATGTTGCTAGACATTTAGGTGCAAATGAAAATTTTTATGTTTATGTACTAAAGAACAAAGGTAATAGTTATTATAAAATTGACATTTCTAATTACTACATACATAAATTTAAACAAAACAAATTAGTTGGCACTTAACTGATACTGTGTTCTCTTTCAGTCCTTGTGGTGGGAACGACGGGTTTTTCCGCTGAAGGATGAAGAAACAGAAGCCTTATTATGTCAAGAAGAAAAGCATGATCAGATGGAAAGATCAAGCCCAGCTTTCCATGGTGAAGTCTTCTGTGCCAGTGTACCAGAGAATGGCCACCATCCAAAAAGGCAGGCCGACGGAATGGAGTACAAAACCTTTGGTCTAGGACTTACTCACATTAAAAAAAATAGGTGACAGGTATCAGGTTAAGAACACTATGTAACTGAGTGGAAAACAGGAGGGAAAATAAAACCCTGTTCTCCATCCCCCACCCCACTTCCTTCAGTCACATTTCCAGAGTAAGAGCATGTCCTGCATGTATTAATCTCTTATGCTGTTTGTGAAACGGGCAAGGCTTATTTCTTTTTCCTCTTGAACATCAGGAGTAACTAGTTTTACCTACAGGCAATTGCTAGTTGTTTGTGTTTATGATCTAAATCACAAGCACCCAAAAAATTAACTACTGCAATTTGATATAAAAATCACATTACTGGGTAAATATTTTTTAAAAAACTTTAGACCCACACATACATATACACATACCCTGTAGATCAAATGACAGCTTTTTTTCTATACACACAGTAATCCATTAAAATTGCCTCAGAAAATATTAGCGTATACAAATGTGTGTACAGTATATACATACACACACACACACACACACAGTTTTAAAAAAACACTGGCGTGACCCACTCCACTTGAAAATGTATGCATAAACTATCCCAAGAATGTAAGCTGCAGTATAAATAGAGCAGCACAGGTTTCTACTGATAATGAACATCTAAAAGTTTTGACTATGGAAAGTAAAATTTTTTTAAGTATGTTTAACCAATAGTAGAAATATTTATGGAAATTTCTATACCAGATAACACAATATTCCTTTATTTGAAATCACTGATAGCTGTTGGACTAAACACAGTTATTTCTATTTACTCCGAACAGAGTAAGACAGGCAAGGTACAGTTAAATATCTATTTTATGTATCTCATGAAAAACACCAACTTAAGCAGCAAATAGGAAAGTCTTATCAGTATAGAAAATATGGTGGCGTTTCTAGTTAATTTGGTCATTCCTTACCATAGCTTACTTTATTCAATTAAGCATCTATTATTCTTACTTGTATCCAAGAATGAGAATTAAAATGTTTCAAAAGATAATGCTTCAATATTGGATATTGGAGTCTACACTAAGGAAATTCCTTTTGAAGCAAATACATCTTTTTTTCCTATGTAAAAGTTGACAATTTATATGAAATCCTTTTTCTCATGTATAAAAGGTTATACAAGTTGTAAGTATCTATGTAATTGACAATCCTGGCCTTATGGCCTAGTCTGGGGGATATGACACTAAGTTTTTGTTAGGGATTAGAAATTATACTGGTCCCTTTAAAAAGAAAAAAAAATTCAAATTCAATACTGACAATTTTTCTTGTAGTTTTACTGTACATTTATTTTTTAAAAAAGCGTAAGCCAGACAAACTCAAATTGTCCAGGCAAATAAACTCAAATCTTTCTGTCATGTCTGATATTATAATCTTCTATGTAAGTTTTTTAATTAAAGTTATTTCTATATGCTTTGTGTTATCTGATTTGATTAAATACTACCGATTGATGGCACAAAATTAAAGCCAGAAAAAAAACTAACATACACAAATTTTACCTTGTAATCTAGAAAAAACAAGCAAACTCAAAACTCGTAATGGCCTAAACATGTTAAATGACACATCCTATTTTATCGACACATGTTATATAAGCAAGAGTGTTTTCACATGAATGAAGTAGCTGATACCTATCTGTTGTTGAAGTGTAATCCGGGAAACAACTTTAAATATCTAGTTTATGAATTAGCTCTGTACCTTGTCATCTCAGCCACCTGGTCTTTCTTGGATTAATAAAATACAGATCCTTTGGGTCAGAATCCATAGTTCCAGAATATTTTCAGCCATGCGCTTCTGCTACTGGGTAAAGTTAGACTGGAAATAAGACAGTGTTAAGTAAAGCAAGCTTTCTTTGCTTAATCTACTTCTTATGGGCTTCATTTGTTTAAAAAAAAAAAATTATAGACTGGAAGTCCTATGCCCTACTGAATTCTTTCCATGGTACCAGCCTTTCCTGAGCTTTTACCTTCTTTACTTTTTTAAAGGGGACTTAAAACACCTGTCTTACTACTCAGGAAACTGATTTGCAGATTTTAATGAGATTTCATGAAAGTACTTTGTAATCTACAATAAAACCCTACCATAATAGCTGATTTATATTGGAGAATCAATTCCTCAATCCTACAATTCTAGGAATAGTAATAGAAACTTTACATTTATCAGTTCTTTCTTTTAATCCTTAACATACTCCTGATAGTTACAGTTACATTCAATGTATATATTAGTTAATAGCATCTCAAAGACTGCTTATTTTAATTTGCTAAGGGCAGGACTGAACTTTACATTACTTCTCAGTAGAGGCCTTCCATTCCTTTGTCTCAGAGCTAGCACAATATTTCAAGTCCTTAATGATCAGCATGATTAAGAAAGGGGGAGATCACTGAATAACCTGCCCCCTCAGTAAAGCCAGCAAAGAAAACACTGATAAAATCTACACTTGCATTTTAGAACAGACCTCCTGAAAATCCCTGGATGCCATACATTGTCTTTATAGTCTTTAGGTATCAAATATAAGGTGCACAGAAAATAAATGTTTTGGAAGCCATCCCAGCCAGATTCAAACTTGGACTTCTCCTAAGTTCTGTTCTACTTATATTATCAGGCATATACACAAATCAAAAATGACAAAAAAACAAGAAAAACACGAGGAATTCTTTTTGATTTTGGAAAATAGTCAAGAAACAACAGAATATTCTTAGAAATGCAGGAAAAAACATGTTTTTCATAGTAGCTAATATGCCTTCCTTAGGCATTAAGACACATTTCTGCTTATAATCTTAATACAGCCATATGTTTACTCTTTATAAAAATCAAGTCCCCCAGTAAAATGTATTTTACCACACAATCTTTATATTCCATCACTAAAAATGTAGTTATACACCCCAATTTCTAACCTCTTGGAATAGATTTTAGTCACTGGAACAAATAATTGCTTAGAGAAGCAGCACTGCCTCAACTGTGATTATGATTTGGTAGTCAATATTCCTGTTTTCCAGTTGAAAGATTTCATGAGAAGCAACACTGGATTCCCTGTGGTTTCATCGATCAAGAGAACGTTTCTGAGCAGCTTCTGAGCAAACATTTCTTAAGAGGTTGATCACAGATCTGGGGTCTTCACTTCTCATAATTGCACTGCCAGACACAATCATGTTAGCTCCTGCCTGGAAGAAGTAAACATTTAGGTTACACCTCAAAGGAAGATGCAGACAAGCCTGTAACAGAAGTCCTGGACTAGAGTTTCTACCCATGCATCAGACAGTTATCAATGCAATTGTAAAAAACAAAACAAAACAAAAACACTTTGAAATTAATAGACTTAATCTAGTTCAATGAAGAAGTTAAAGAGAAAGTGAAATTTTTAAATCTAAGAAATCTCTCACTTTTGGTAGCCAACTTTAAAGGAGCCACAACGCAGAATCTTTGCTAATGCTAGATAAGATTTAAAAATTTTCATCCTCAGCTGTATTAAGGTTTTTCCAATATATACCAATGGTTGACAGCTACTGAAAATCAAACTTTGTCTCTGAATTACACACATGAATTGTTAGATAGTATAAAAGGATAATTACTGCTAAAATGTGAACCTATCCATGAAATACGGCAACATTAAAAAATTTCTTATTTTGATGCCAGCAAGAATAGAACATCTTTTTAATTAATCTTCACTGCATTCTGGAATGGTGTTTAAAGAGATTTTTAATATGTTTTTAAATGTGGAAATGGGGCCTCCCCTGGTGGCGCAGGGTTGAGTGCTGTGCTACGAAGCTGTCCGCAGTCTCTGCAGAGCCGATTAGATCCCAGCCGGCTGGCAAGGGTCCCACATGGCACGGTGGACCTCTCTAGTCGCGCCTGCTGCTCCCCTCAGCAGTGTATTTCGTCAGTCTGCCTGTTCTGTTCCCCGCTCTGTCTCTGGTGAATCCTCTCACCCTCCCGCACATCTGGCCTGTAACCCGGTTCTTGTATAAAATAAATAAATCTTTAAAAAAAAAAAATGTGGAAACAAATCAGAAAAGCAACTAAGATGAATCCAAATTTAGCTGCTTCTCTTAGCTTCCTAAGCTGTTTGTTGAATCAAGGAGGGAAATCCAACCTGTTACATGATTCAGTCCCGGGGCGGGGGGGGGGGGGGGGGCGGAGGGGGGACTACTGAGAAAACGCTAAACTGAAGACTTCCTCAAAACATTCTGTAATACCATGCACTACACTCTGACAACATTCCTCATAGGAATTAGAGAAATCAGTTTTATAGAGTTCCTGCTTCATATGTCTCTTAATTTAAGCAGGACTAAGCATAATGGTAAAGCACAGTTCAGTACAAAGCAATTACTTAAGCAGTCAAGGATGTATGCTCACTAATCACCTCTTCCACTAACATTTATCACAGATTGATACTTCATAAGTATCAAGCAAAAAGTGTCACAGTTAGACACTTTTTAGCACAGTTAATTAGAAAAAACTAGAAATGTAGAAAAACCACGCTACTTAATGAAAGTAGGCCACAGAATTTTAACCACCCGCAGTGCTACAGGAAGGGCTGGCATCATCTTATGAAGCTCAGGAGTGTAACAAAGCTAGGTTAGCAACTTGAAAACAAAAACTCATCCCACCTGTATATGGAGGGTCAAAGGAGTATTCAGAAATCAGATCTTGATTTTTTTCATCAACAATGGTTCTAGTCATGTCATACGAGGTAATAAACAATACTAACATTCTACAGAAAAACATTTTTTCCCTTTTGTAAGGAGGTATATTTTCTTTCCCTATTTTGGAAAAATGTCTCATTCCAAGGCCTTGGAACTTAATGACATTCCAAAGGCTGGCATTCAACATACTCTCAAAAAAAAAAAAAAACTCTATTCAGCATTAGTAAGACAAAAGGAAACTACTATTCAATGATGGTCTATTAAGAGTATTCACTTACTGTCCTTTATCTTCCTAGTTCTAGATTTGAACAACAAATACTTCTCCAAGAAAGAAAAGCAGTTTAGGAAATGTAGGGGAAATTTCTTTGGCCCTTGAGACAATGTCCTGGACATTACATTGGAAGGAAATTGTTCCTGGTTACAGTCAAGAAGCAGTCTCACCTCTGCACATCTATGGATAGTGTCAGGACCTACTCCACCATCGACCTCTATGTCCAGAGATGGAAATTGAGTCCTCAACCAGTGAACCTAGATATAAACAAGAAAGTAAGTGACTCCTAAAGTGGATATGCTATGTGGGGGAAAAAACAACCAAATAAAACAAGAAAATCACAGACAAAATTAGCTATTAAATGTCCCATACCACAACGTTCTATCAATACCAAATATTACTGGGGAAAACTTCCTTTTAATGTACAGGAACAGGGCCTCCCCGGTGGCGCAGCGGTTGAGCGCTGGGTTGCGAAGCTGCCCGCGGCCTCTGCGGCGCTGGTTCGATCCCCGGCTGCTCCCCGGGCACCGGGGGAGGGTCCCACATGGCGCGCAGACCTCTCCTGCCGCCCGCTGCTCCCCTCAGCAGTGTACTTCGGTCCTTCTGCCTGCTCTGCTCCCTGCTCTGGCTCTGGTGAATTCTCTCACCCTCCCGCGCTTCTGACTATACCCAGTGCATGTATAAACAAAACAAACAAACAAATAAATAAATAAAAACATGCAAAAAAAAAAAAATAATAATGTACAGGAACAAATTTCTGTAAAAGCAAACTATCTTTTTTGGTAAATGTCATTCAATTTGCCATGGCTTTGCAGAGAATATACTTCATGTAAACAGGACAAAGATAAAACTTAGAGTCTATGAAAATGCTCAAGAGATCTAAAGGCTACAGAGATAATAATTTTGAAAGATGGGGCCTCCCTGGTGGTGCAGCGGGTTGAGCACAGCACTGGGAAGCTGTCCGCAGCCTCTGCAGCGCGGGTTCACTTCCCAGCCGGCCAGGGAGATACCCACATGGCGCGGCAGACCTCTCCTGTCGAGCCCGCTGCTCCCCTCAGCAGTGTATTTCGGTCCGTCTGCCTGTTCTGCTCTCTGCTCTGTCTGGGGTGAATCCTCTCACCCTTCCATGCTTCTGGCCTGTACCCCAGTTCTTGTATAAAAATAAATAAATCTTAAAAAAAAAAACCTACACAAATCATAACAAAATAAAATTAAAAAATAATAATTCTGAAAGAAAATTTCAAGATTAGAATGTAATATATTTCTTGATTTCCAAACCTAGATCTCATAGCATTTACTGTACTGTATTAAAAGGAAAGGTAGGCATCCCCATCTATAGGACATAACATATCTAAATATTAAGAAATCTAATATATGCTTACTGAGTAAACACACACAATACACCACAGAATCAAATATATCTTTTACCTTTGGCATCATATCTTCCATGAACTTCTGTCCTCCAAACCCAGGTTCCACTGTCATAACCAAGGCCATATCTATCTGATTAGCCCATGGTGCCAAATACTCAACTGTAGTTCCTGGTTTGATAGCAAGACCAACCTGCAATGGGGAGAAATTTGCTGCATCACATTAACAATTATTTCTAAATTATTATGGCACATCAGGCTCAAGAGAGAGAAGTGTAAACATATAGAATGTTTAGACTATATGTATTAAAAATAAATGAACAAACTTATCAAATGTAAATGTTTCTAAAAGGTAGTTAACTTTTGGAAAGCATGAATGGAACTATTATCAATCTTATCTGATAAACAAGTAATACTTAAACTCTGCCTTTCCAGCTGGAGAACAGACACCCAATATGGTCCTCTCCACCTATCTCTTGTCTTTCACCCCATGTGCCAAACTCTGAGAATGAATAGTATAAAACAGTCACCGCTGACCTCTCACCTTCATCCCATTCTCCCGAATGTCTTTAATCAAAGCCCCTGGGTTCTCAGTGGCCTCGAGATGAAATGTATATTGATTTGCGCCTGCTACAGCCATTGGCTTTACCCACTGTTCTGGCCTGGAAACCATCATGTGCATGTCTAGAAAGAAAAGACATATCTCCTAAATACTACTGAAAGGAAAAAACCTGGCTCAGATTATCCAAGTCAACTGTAATTTTTGCTACTTATATATAAATTGTGCTGGCATCACAATAATTGTTAATTAGTTATACTTCTGTATAACTAACCTTCCTTTATCCTGAAAATAAGATTTTGGTTTAACTCATTTACAAAGCATTTTTCTACAAAAAACCGTATGGTTCTATATATTAAAAGTAATAACGGAAAGTCAGAAATCCTAGGTCCAGGAAATGACACTCTAATAATCTGAGCGAAGTCATATTACCTATGTGGACTTACTTCCTTGTTTACAGAAAGTGAAGCTGAATGATTGTTTCCACCTGTATCTTACTGAGCATTTACCACACAGCATCAACTACTCTAAGTCCAAGGGACAGAGTGAAAACTATAACAATCTCTGCTGTCGCGGGGATTATATTCTTAGCAGAGGAGACAAACGATAAAATGAGCAAAGACAAGACACACTCGGTTGGCCGATAGCACAGCAGGGCAAGGAAGCACTGCGCAAGCAGATGAGTCAGAGAGGCACAGGATGAGGAGAGAGTACAGAGCTCAGCGGGCCCCTGGGTTTTATTCCGAACAACATGGTGCAAACACTGCAGGATTCTGAGTGGGGAAGTGGACCCAGCTTGGCCACGACAAGAACCCAGGTGAGAAATGACAATGGTAGCAAGGGAGGATGGTGAGAACTAGTGGGATTCTGCATGTGTTCTGAAGACAGAGCCAATAGGAATTGCTACAGACCGGAGGAGGACAAGGGTCAGGATGGTGCAAGAATTTGGGCCTCAGTAGCTGGGGCCAAACAACACCTTAGGAGGAGGAAAGGGTTTAAGGACAAGTTAACACAAAGAAGCCCAACAGGCATCACAATTCTAAAGCATGAATCATAAAAATACGTTATGGTAAATGGGTATGGCCTTCTTAAAAGATCTTAACCTAAAATATACTGGCATTTAATAAGGAGAGGAAAGCTTAAAAGATGCACAAACAAGAAATAACACAGTGAAGTAGGTGTGAGGAAACAGTAAATACTGTACCCCCATCTGGACAGATGATAGTGAGCAGTTTTGGAGTTTTTTGTTTTGCTAGAAGTAAAGTCCTGATACAGCTAAGCTATCATAAAGAAAAGAATTCCAGCATTCAAGAATGCAAGCAAGGTCATAAAATGCAATATGGCTTTGGAAAATGTCAGAAGAGAGTATATAGCTTGACGAATGTAGTTAAGATTAATGCTTATATTCCTAAACCAAAAAAGTAACAAAGTTTAATACACAAAGCTTTGTTTTTAAAAGACAGGCTCAATTTGAACTTTCTTCCTTCTTTTTCCCTTAAAATGACAAGCACATTTAAAGAAAATATCAATAAAATACCCAAGTCTGACAATCACAGTTCATCTGTTAGTTCTTTCAAGTGATAAATAATGTTTATGAAAAAGCACCTACTGAGTGTAACTAAAACAATGGGGACATTGTTTTCTTCCTCCAGAATATAGCAGAAGTACTTTATAAATACTTCTTACTTCATCACACAAAATATTAAAAAGGTATGCACTCACGATCCAAAGTTTCCTTAAGTTATTTTGCACTGCTTTATGAGGAATACTTACTATGAACACATAACAATGGAGGATATAATGACTACTTGATAATTCAATGCCACTGCCTTTATTTGAGCTAAAGTACTAGCAGACACAACCACTTTTCCATTATTACAAATAAAGGCAGGTAATATGAAAATAGTTTCGACTTCATGGATCATCTGAAAGGGATTCCCGTGGGTTCTCAGATCATACTTGAAGACTGCTTATTTAAATAATAGCAGAAACAAACCTTTTTCCTATCACTTTACTTCTTATATGGTTATTTCTACTCAATGCTGAGATTGAACAGTTAAGAACCTTAGAAGTTACAGAGACAACTTGTCAGAGTTACTAAAATATATTCATGTATCAACTATCCACCAACCAGATTCAAGAAGTAACAAAAAAAAATGCATCTTAATATAAAAAAGGTCACAAAACCCAAAATAAAGCATATGGCATCCACTCATTTTTATTTTAGACCCACTGCTAGAAAGATTAATTAGCAAAGTTATTAGTATGTAAATGAAAAATAGGAAGAAAAGGCAGATTGGTTGTGTGGCTATAGGGTTGTTAAGAGCAGAGAGACAAAATAGCAGTGAGAAGTGACACTAGTAGCTCAATTAAAGGGAGAGAAAAGCAAAAACCTTTCTTTTCATTTACATAAAGCCAGAAGTCGAGGGCTCCAACCAGCACATAGTGTGGGTAAACAATGCTACTATTTCATCCAGCCCTGATAGTCTAAGAACAAATTTATCTTGAAAAAATGCATTTTTAAAATGTAATAGAAAAAAGTTTAGAGAATCAAATTTTTTTCTATTATTTGGAATTCTCAAAACAGTGAAGGTGTTGATGAAACATTATTTCCCTCATGCCACAAAAATTAGGCGGCAACGTATGTTTTCTTTGGCTCATTTAAAGTGAAAGGATCTTCTCCAGAAGTCCAACGAAACTTTCAACGTGATGGCATGTTCCACGGCAGCACTACGCAGTACAGAAGTTATGAGCCACATGTGACTAACCAGCGACTGCAATGTGGCTAATGCCACTGCGAAACAATTTTAATTTTACTTAATTTTAACTAATTGAAATTTAAATCGTCACATGTGGTTACTGGCTACCATGTTGAACACAGCTAGACTCCTTCATAAAAGTGGTCCATAATATGCCACTTAAAAAAAAAAAAAACAAAACTTAAGTTTTACTAAATTCTAAGAGTTAAATCAAAACACATTAAATTTCTTATGTAGATGAAATCTGGCAAGTGAGGCATTAACAACAAACAAGACTTGGATTGAATCCATTTCCCCGAGAAGTTCTTTCTTAAATATCCTAATTCTTATTATCCTATTACATTGGGGTGAAGCCTTCATAGGAAGCTCCAATTTGCATGAACTGGTTTTACTTCTAGGCTATAAATCAATTTGCAAATTCATTGAACAAATTACACTGAATACACCAATCCAGCAGCTACCTCTGTTTAGCTCTAAGTAAACAAAGTAGAAGAAAGCTATGCCCTCAAGACATTTATAGTCAAACAAAGCAACTACAGATTCAAGGAAGTTCTAGGAAGAAAATCAACAAGCAATACTGAAAATTGGATAAAGGTTATTTCAGGACAGAATACTTAAAAAGGCTTGGGTAAAAGATAAGGCAGAGCTAGCCAAGGGAAGAGCTTTCCAGCAAAGAGATTAGCAGAAGCACAGCAGCCCTGAGGCAACAGCAGGCCTGGTTTATCAAGATGAAACCAATGAAGACCCAGCACAGAGAGAAGAAAGGGTTTAAGATAAACCTGGAAGTTGAGAAATCAACCATCTAGTTTTCCTTTACTTGATTAATACATCCAGCTTCAGATGGCATAAACCCCCACTTACCAAAGAAAGGGTCCTGGCCTAGCTGCTTTCGGAGGCTTTCTACCACAGGGTGACCAAAGGTGATGTTGGGAACAAAATGCCTACAAGACAAACAACATCTTACTCTGAAAATATGCTCAATTCAGTTTCTGTATTTTTCTCAACATGTATTCTGATGGGGGTAAAGAGGACTATCTGTGATTACAGTTATTTTAAAGTTCATAATCAACATTAGCATTAAATAATACTAAAACTATCTGGATAATTTCAGTTACAAAGCAACAGCTCCTTAATACATCAACAAATCACAATAATGTCACAGGATTTAACCCTATAATCCACAATCCCTGACAGGTTGAAATTAACAGATGAATGAATCAAAACCCTGAATTATATGACTTGCCCAAGCCACACACTAGTTAGGAAGTTCTGGACTCCGATTTGGATCTCTCAATGCCAGCCTGCGGAAGGCTGCATGTGGCTACTTTTTTAATCCACCTCTATCACAGGGCACTAAATCAGTTTATTTAAAACATTTTGTAAGACAATCAATAAAGAAACTTGGCCTGTGTATTAATATCCACAATTACTGAGGGTTTACAACATGCCAGGTATTGTCCAGCTACACAACAGCTTTATGATGTAGATACCATTATCATACCCACTTGAAGACTGCAAGATAAACACCTTCCTCAAGACACTCAGTAATTGGTGGGGGCAAAATTCAAATTAAATCTGCCTGATAACAGACTCAAAGATTCAACTTAACCAGTATCCTACTTGTTAGTTCTCTTGTTCTGCCACTAGCTCACATATATACTTAATTCTGGGCGCTTCAGAGAATAGAATATTTTATAAAGAAAAATGTGACAGTACAGTGGCTGGTAGTAAGCCAACTCACCGAGGACTACATTTCCCAGCTCCCCTTACACCCAAGTGGCCCATTTGACTAGTTCTTATTAATGGATGGTGAGTATCACTGATGGGTTAGGTGTCACTGCAGAGTCCAGCAAATTAAGCATTTTCCTTTTCTGTTCTCCTTTCATCCTTCTGCCAGTAAAGCCCTTACAATGGCAGAACCACCGGATGAGACTATGTCCCTGAATTTCTGCACAGGACACTCACACTGAACTGTTACATGAATGAGAACTTCATGTTATGCTATGGAAATATGGGCTTTTACTTGTTAAGGAAGTATTAGCCTATATGAGGGCTGCAAGAAAACCTAAACAATAACATGTAGGAAGTAAAACAGTGTCAGAGACAACTAGGACAGCACTTTCAAAGAGCGTAAGATCATGGGATTTACAGAACAAACAGAATTTGTAAAGATGGGGAACGGGTTATGTTCAAAGAAGCGAGGAGATGACATTTACCAGCTTGGCTACTGTGAGGCAGATGTCATCACAGCAAGGGTCTCATACGCCATGCTCAGCAATGAGTAGTGAGCAGTAGTGACTTCATCCTGTTCTAAAAATACTGTGCCGTTTTAAAGCAAGAAGGAAAAACAAAACAAAAAAATACATATATATATATATATATCTGTATATATATGCAAATTAAAAAGTAAGAAGATGGACCAGACAGTTAATTGGATGGGAGGAAAGAGGTGTTGGTAAATTTCAAGGAGCAGTAAGGATTGAAAAGAGCAAAGACGAAAGTGCTGACCTGTTACCTCATTAGAAGTGGGGGAGTGAAGAATTACCATGGCTAAGATTTAAAGCTTAGACAACTGGCAGAATGAATGTTAACAAAAATTTAAAATACCTATGGGTCAGGTACCTTTCTAACACTTTCTGTATCTTAATTCATAAAAACTTAAAAAAATCCAAAGAGGGTAAGCTCATGGGATTTACAGAACAAACAAATGAACCTGTGAGGTAGATTATTTCCTGCATTTTACAGTGAGGAAAAGAGGCCCAAGGTCACAGAATGAATCAGTCCATGCCCAAGGCAAGAGTTAAAGGCAAGCAATCTGGCTCCAAAGTCCAGGTTCTTAACTACCCTGCCCCTCCACCTGCAACTAATAACTAGCAGGCAAAAAGTGCAGGGGGGAGGGGAGAGTCTCCAGAGAGGGAGGGATATAGCACACACCTGAGAGCAGGTCTTGGTGGAAGGGCACAGGCACTCTCATTCAGGAGATCTTGGAGCCTTAGAGGTAGGGTTTCTGCTATTTAAAAGGAAGTCATTCTCTCATTTGTCTAAGAGCAAAGACTGCCAGGGATTCTGAGTCAGATTTTTATTGTGTTTACTCAGAACTTGGAAGTAAGGACCCGATAAGGAGGCAGGAAGGCCTACTGAATATTACACAAGCCTGGAATTGAAAGATTTAATTTTGTTGACTCTTAATATGCTATGTGGCCTTGGAAGCACTTTTATTGTCTCAAAGTTAAGTTTCATGTATGATGCAAATACACCTCCACTTCAGTGGAAAACAGAAGCCACAGCATTTTGAATAAAACTACTGACCCTCAAAGGATATGGCTAATTGCATTACTGAACAGTACATCAGTGTGCAGGTTCACCAAGAACACTGGGAGAACAGAAATGCAGCAATAACCTCAAAAAAAACTAAAGACTTAAAGCTAAGCTGTAACAACAACAACAAAAAGGCTGAAAACCCAAGCATGAGGGCAGGATGTTCTAAATTTGCCTGACAACAGTAACCAGGGGCACAATTGCCACAAACGGATTTACTGGCTCTATTTCAAGTCTACTGATGCCAAAGAGGACCTGGGAATATGAATGTTTAACTAGTGCCCAGGGAGCTTTTATCAGACTCTAACGAAGAGACATTCAACAAGGAAACCTACTTCATTATTTTATTCTGTCTTGTTTCCCCTTAAAGACACCTTTTGAAATAAACTCTGTAAGAAATAAAATACAATTTAAAAAGTATTCTTTTCTCCCCTAGAGAACTGAGATTAAGTTATAATTGTTTAGAATACAGGATACAATTATTTTATCTCTCATCGTGTTCCATCAACTCTAAGCTTTGTTTATAACTGTAATGCAATCTATTTCAGACAGATCACACCTTTACCAAGCCCCAGTAAGGCAAGGATGGTAACAGGTAAAGGAAGATAAAAGTTGATATAAAAATGTAGCTAGATTATAAAACCAGAACATACTGCCTGTGAATCAGGAAGCGCAAACTCATGTGCCTACCTAGAGTGACAGGTACCAGCAGGTGCAAAATGGGAGCAGGGGGAAGGGGAGGTAGTACTTGGCCTGACTAATGGAAACTGCTGTTTAGCACAAGTCCAGTGTGGTTTATGACACTATGGGCCTAGCACTGGCAAACCTTGGAATGTTTTTTCAAAAGTCAAAAATTTAGTACTAATGTGAAACCACCTTAATTTTAAATCTTAGAAACTAATTTAGAAATTGCCTTTTTACTGTGTTCTTACACTGAGGACCAACACACTCTGGTCATTGTCCTATCAGAAGAGTTTATGGATTTTCCAATTTTCTTTTCCAGAGAATCCACGTGTTCTTTATTTCAAATATTCAGCCATGCTAGTGCCACATGCCCCACAGTGTTCCCAGAACTTATTCTTGACTTTCAAGATGAAGATATTCAATGCTCAAACGAGGGGCCTCAGTGGGAGAGGTGGGGGACGAGAAAACTGGTGCATCCAAACTCAGTCACGGTGGATATTTTTAAAGGGGGCTGGCAAAATGCATGGAAGGAAGCAGCAGGAGGGGAGGTAAGCTGCGGATGGCGTCCTTGGGAAAGGAAGTCCACACCCCAATTTCACACCCCTGACCAAGGAGACACTGCAGCTCAGGCAGGCTCTTCCTGTTCTGGTGTGCCATCAAGAAAGGGCTGAAGTTTCCCCTTTGACAAGAAAGAATAAAAAGAGTTCTTAGCTCAAAAACCTGTGAAATTTGGAAAGGTTTTTAAAGGGTATATACAGAATTTTAGTTTTTCAAGCCAAGATATTTCTTGGCAAAGAGAGAAATGAGTCAACAAAAAACAAGTATTTTATCTCAATAAGCTCAGGTGTGCCACAGAGTGTGAGAGGGCAAAAGTGATTTCTTTGAGATTCCTCCATTATGATTCATTCATTCATTCAACCAATTATAACTAAGCTTGCTGTGTGCTTCACCTGTGGCGTACACAGAGGTAAACCCAACAGACAGGGGTCTCACAGTCTCTAAGGAGAGAGATGAAATAATTAACAAAAACACGTATAAATTATTAGTTGCTCTTGGGGAACTGAGGATGTTTTATGCATTCTCTAGTGACCAGTAAGCCCACTAGTCACAAAAGATATTTAATGTTGAGACAACACAAACTGTTGCATGAGTCCCATCCCGGCACCACCATTTCGGAGCTATGAAGCCAGTCAGGTGATCAGACCTCTAGGCATCCAATTCCTCACTTCAAATGCTGGTGTAAATAACAGAACCCACCTGACCTCATAAGGCTGTGTGAGATAATCCACAAAAAAGCATCAGCACAGAAACAGTAACGAGTTCATTAACATTAGCTGTTAGTTACTATTAAGACTCCTGATTGGTGAACTTAATTCATTTTCTCCATTCATTCAGTTAATCAAACATGGTACAAGACTTATTTAAAACCCAATAGCTTTCCGTGTTAAATAGACTAAGCAGATGTGGACCATTTATCCTGACACTCCCGAGGTACACACACCACTCAGTAAAGTGGAATTCAGGGCGTTTAAGCAAAAGGGTCCCGGAAAGTACACAGGTCGAGTGACATGACAGCATACTAAAAACCAAGCTTTTTTGAGAGGTAATAATCACTAATCTTGCATACTTCACCTAGAATTCTTAGTATTTTAAGGTCAAGATACTGCCATTATCAGTTGGGCATACTGGTAACTGAGCTGGAATGTAAAGGAGAAACATTTAACCTAATAAAATTCTTAGAAGACCTTAAAATGAAAGTAACTGATCAACTTTTGTAAATAACAAGAACTTGCCAATTGGCCCGAAGGCACACCGTTTTTAATCTATTAAAAAAGTATTTTTCTATCCCAATCCACAGTGATGCTTGTTACAATTTTCTGGCCAGTTTTCAGCGGGGTTCGGAGAACTACTTGGCAAACTCAAGTATCTCCAAGTTGCAACTATGTCACAATGCTGTGCAATCTTGAGGAAGTCTCACTGTTTTCTCTAGATTTGTTTCCTCATTTCATAACCAACTTAACAAACCAGCACCATCCCGACTCCAAACAGTATTACGTGCTATAACTAGTGCTTAAAAATTACTTACAAAAAACTGAGCTCCCTGAAGATCAGGGTGCCTGAAGAGAAAATAGACAGGAAAATCAAAATCCGGACAAAGATACAGCAACGCACAATCACAGGGAATCTACTGTATACCAGGCACTGTCAACCTTGTGTACCACCTCGATTCACCTTCCAAAGATGCCTATGCGAGAGGTTCCATGATTACTTCCATTTTCAACATGATGAAAGTGAAGATCCCTGAGGTTAAGTGATTTGTCCCAGGCAGGTAACCCAGCAAGTGGCAGAACTGGAGCAAGCTCAGCCCAGGTGCCAAGCTCTTCATCGTTACGCAGGTGTGTCTCCCCAGCTTTGCCCCTAACTAGCTATATGAGCTTGGGCAAGTCATGCCTACCCCTCAGGCCTCAGCTTCCCTAAGTGGAAAGGAGTCACCTGTCTCAGGTTTAAGGTCGCTTCCGGGTCCTAAGTGCCAGAAGACCACACGTTACGTGGGGGGATGGGGGGGGTCTGACGCGGGAGCAGCCCAGGATGCCGCCTCTCATCCGCTCCAGGCTGGGTCACCCCAGCTTCCTCCCCACCCCGACCTCCGCACCCCCTGACCCCCACCTCTGAATACCGCGTTCAGAGCGCGGCGCCCCGCAGTCCAGGGACGCCGTGCATCCAACAGGCGCTCAATCAAGGCGCGCCGCCCCGCCCCGCCCCGCGCGGCACCCCCGACCTGAGCCCCGCGGAGTTACCCGTCCATTACATCCAGGTGCAGATAGTCGGCCCCAGAGTCCAGCATCCGGAGGCACTCGGCCCCTAAATTCGCCAGGTCGCTGTTGAGGATGGACGGGCCAATCTTGCAGCCAGACGCCATGGTGCTGGTTCACAAGTGCAAGTTACCCCACGAGTCTCCCAGCAAAATGAAGGCGTCGCCCCGATTGGCCGCACAGTTTTGACCCCACCCCTTCGCCGTAGAGTCTTCCGGACTCTGCCGGAAGCCGCGGCCCTCGGGCAGGAAGTCCCGCCCCCCTCTGGGCTGGCTGTCAGCCTGGGGTCCCAGAGGAGGCCCTGCTTGGAGGCCCCTTCCTCCTGCCACTGACCCTCGTTGTTGAAACTGGCTTTTCGGGTTACCCCGGGCTCACAGATCCGGAGTTTTGTTTTTTGCTTTATTTCCCCCAGCAGTTCCCTCTCTGTGGCTCTTGTGCTCTCCATTTTTGGTTTCTCCATCTTTTGCATATGCTGTGCTGCCCCTTAAAATACAAAGCCAAAACCTTTCTCCCTGTCCTCTTCGTGAATTCTAATTAAGAGCCGGAGGAGTCAGGTTTAGGGTGGCATCCTGACTGCCTGGGAGACCTAGCTGATAGTCACTTCTTCCTATCTCCTTTGAGTCATCCATGAAGATAGTACCCAGCGTTTAGGTTGTAATAGGGATTAAATAAACGAATCCAGGTAATGTGCACAACACGCACATTACTGGTGCTCAGTACAAAATGGTAGTATGTTACCATCCCTCCTACTGTTTCTTTTGTTTTTCCCCTATTGGGAATGCTCATTGGCAAACTATATGCGTGTATTTACTGTTTAGAGAAAATAGGTTTGTTCCTCCGCCAAATATGTCTAGGGTTATTGGGTGAGGATAGGAGATGAAATAAAACCATGTGAGGAAAAGAGACCTAGCGCATACTTTAGAGGGTAAGGATGGCCACTGTGTACTCTAAAGAAAGCACTGGTGGTGAGGTGGTCCCCAGTGATGATTCTGGCTACCATCAGAAGAAACCAGATCCTTAAATCCCTCCTAGGAAACTTACCAGTTGTTCCAGCAAGTCATGACCTGAGCAGGGAAATCAAGCTGGGGCACTTGTCTCCTAGCATGTCCTTTCTGCTTTATTTTGAAGCTTAAGAGTGGGAAGCCTGATTAGAATGGACTGTGTTGGAGTGGGAGGGAGGAGTTGCAGGTGCCTAACTGAAGGGTGACCTAAGGCCAGACTAGAGGAGTTAAGGAGAAACATCAAGAAAACCCCTGGGATCCAAAACAAAGAAAACACAGCTCAAGGATCCAAAGTGCACACTTTCTTGAATGAGTTAACCAGTTCTTATATTGAGAAAGGAAACTTAATCAGGCATCTTAAATGTTTTTAAATTTATTTTATTACATGTGCATATCCAAACACAGAAGTCTTAATATCTTTCATAAACATCTTCCATAAACAATTTAGTATTTATTCATATGCATTTTTTCCATGCTCTTTGGTCATTCAGTATTCATAACAGACTTCATAGTCATCTGAGGGAAGTTGGCTGTGGACTCAATCATTTGTTTTTGCTTATAAAATGGCTAAGAAAGGATTTTCATCCGGCAGTCACAGTGACTATTGAACAATATATGGAGGTACATTGATCTATAATCCTAAATGATCATAAAGCAATAAAAGTAAATTTGTCTTAAACTTTCCAAATATATTCTTCCCTTATTTTTTATTCTCCTGAGTGTCAAACCAAACTTTGTATTTGAAATGCTGCAGTTGAGACCCACTAAAGTAAGTGAGGAAGTGAGCCTTTCTAATCACTGCAAAAACAAGGCCATGGAATTGGAAATGTGAGGTCACAGGGCAACAGGATGACCTGGTGTAATAGCAGTAAATTACAGAGATTATTAAGGTGTACTGTATAATGCAGGGAAGGGTGTTTGATTTATGTTTTGGACTGTAATTCTATTTATGACTTGTTCTTCCCTGTAGGTTCCTATACACACCCTCTTCTCATCTCAGATACTCTTGGGGCTGAACAACAGATTGTAGAATGTTCTTCACTGATTAAAGAGTCAGATACTAAGAAGAGATGTCATCCTGCCTAAGGTACTCTTGGAGGCTTGAAATAGCAAAACAGCTACTTTTCCTAGCCTGTACAACACACCAGATCCCCAAACATCACGGATTCTCCCCCATGAATTGCCATGCCCATTTATGCCTTTTGACACTATGGTTTTCAGTTCCTTATCCCAGTGCACTCAAAAAACTGAAATAACTTATCTAATAGAATTATAGAAGGCAGAAAATATTGAAAAATTATAAGAAAATGTTTCATTATATAAAATGCTGTGTCCAGGATTTGAGCTGCTTTACATGAATCTGAGTAATATAAATCTATACTCGCTATCATGGATAATACATGTTTATTCCAAGGTCTCTCAACATTTAATTTCAGAAGAAGCAACCTCTTAGTTCAGTCCAACTGTTTTATACATGAAAGTAGGTGCCTGCTTTAATTTTCCTCTGAACAAGATAAATATCATCATGCATCATAATATTACCAATACTGCATATATCATATGTAATAATTAACTTTTAGGCATATACTCAATATTTTGAATATTACAAAAAATCATTTATTGTCTGGAACTTTTTTCTAATCTTCCCCAACTATTTTTCCTTTTTAATAGTTATTTCTTCAAACTTCAGGTACCAGTATTCCTGAGAATACATCTTGTGACAATCTTATGCACATATATAGAGATACTTTATAAATTACACATAGACCTTTAACACGCTACATTCGACACATTTAAGGGCACCTTAATGGACCAGATGCACATATATGCAAAATTTCACTAGTCCCAGTATGAACACATTCTTACTCTATAAGGCCCTGTTTCTCAGAATGGGAGGTGTTTTCGCAAGGTACAACATTATTCAGCTTATTGAAAAAGTTTCCAACAGAATTCCATCACACTAGAGTGAAGGAGCTAGGGTAAAAGGCAGACAGGCCAGCATAATCATATTCACACAGCCCAATACTTTTTAAATATATATAAAGTTATGTAGGATTCTTGTTAGATATTTAACAATCTACTTTGATTCCTTTATTTTTTTAAATATCTGATACAATTACACATAAATAATTTGAAGTATGAAGCAAGAACCCAGAACAAAGTATGCACATATACAGAGACTCACGTAGCCCAGACACTGGTAATACCAAACGTAAGGCCTCTAACACTAATTGAGCAGCATAATTTTTAACAGGTGGATACATCAACTTAGAATCATGAAACCACTTATATGTATATTTCTGCACTTGAGAAGTAATTCAGCATTAAGTGCAAATGTTCAGAAAACATTGTAAAACTTAAAAGGGGCCATTTACTACCTCTATTTTCTGACTTTTAGATTTGAAATGTTCAGTTTTGTCCTTTATCTTTAACTCAAAGATATCTTTCATTTTCTTAGTGAATGGAACCAAAACCACAAATTATATTTGACAGTATAAATCACAATGTAAATAATGCCTAGTTAATAAGCAGTCCTAACAAAAAAATAGATTTCCTTTGTGATTTGGGTGGCTTTAGTAGGTGTCTTCTATATAGACATATACATTTCCTCACCAATGTAGTCAAAGTTTAAGCATACAGAATGTGTTTTAAATTCATCGCAATCAATGTCTGTATTCAACTTCAACTTGAGCACTAGAAAACACACCCACGCACACACATTCACACACACACTCCACCATACCAATTTAAGTATGTATATGACTTGTTATATGTTTAGTCATTATGTAACAGTTTTCCAATATAAAAATTTTGAAATTCCACTTTGGACTATATGATGCCAAGCCCTACTATAGTATCAATCACACACTAGATATGGCCTCACAAGCCTTTTAAGTTTTTATACTTTTCTTGAAGTAACTGAATTCTCAAGTTAAAATAAAATACACAAGTTGGCAATGAGAAGTTGCTCACTTTATAGATTTTTTTCCTTATAAACTTATATGTCTAAAGGATCATAGGAATATTATTAATGTTGAGAAAAAGTTATTTTATTGAACTAATTCTAGCAACAGTAATCTAATATCTGAAAATATGCCCTTGAGGGCAGGCACAATATAGTGTAAGGAAAATAATCACATTTCCCAATATCTTCTTGTCTTAGTATTGATGTAGTCAGGACTAGATGTAGGAATACCATCTCTTTCTAGCTATTATATTTATATTTACACTTAGTGTTTTTTATTATAGTATAAGCCATCTAGGTTCTTATTAATTCAGAATTATGTCTGATAATTTCTAGAATATTCTCTCTCTGATGTGATTATTAAATGAAATCTTATGGCATTAGCATTTTGATTACAAAATGCAATGAAAATAATAGTTCAAAAATAAATATTGAAAAGTCCACAGTTGTAAAAATAGTATTTTTTTCCTTCTTCTAAATGTCTGTATTGTTGATCAAAAAAAAAAAAAATGGCTGCAGGCTTATTTATTATTTAGTTTCCCTAAACTAATATTTTTCTTATTGATTACTGTCATGTAAATTGCTATTTGTACAGCCATCTGATTATTTTTGAAACTATAAAAATAAATATTTGCATGAGATGTATAATGTGAATAACCTTAAAAAATTGCATTCCTTTTTTAGAACATATTCTGTGGTAATATTCGTAGGTAAGCAGCTCTGTAATAGTATACATTTTTAATTACTCAAGGCTTTTTGAATCATAAACAATGTGCAACGAAATGGCTCTTTCCCCTTATTCCTCCCTGGGTTTTATGGTCTTCAGCAACCAAGTGATCTTAGCCATTGATTTTTTTAAAAGATGTTTATGAAACAGTGTGTGCATTGACAGCAAAAGCTACTGAGATTTGTGCCACCCGTTGGATATAAAGTGCTTTGTTTTCATCTTTTCCAAACATAAGCAAAGTGATCCCCACCACATCTTGCCCATACCTGGCAATTCCTACAAGATAGGGAACTAGACATGTGATTCATCTAGGTCTACCTCAGTCTCCCCCAGCTCAGTGGGTGCGAAAGTGAACTGGCTGGACAGCAGGGGGTTCTCCATGCCGTTTTCCTCACTGATATGCAGGACAGTGTCTCCGTGCTGTAGAAGGATGGAAGTCTCAAGCCCTGTGAATTCATCCGGGTCTGAGAGTTGAGTAGAGAGGGGGCT